GATTGTTTACGTTAGAAATTACATATATATCATGTTTTAGTTTGGGTTGCCATTTGTTGGGCAAACAACCGTATTGTTTACGTTAGAAAATACATATATATCATGCTTTAGTTTGGGTTGCCAATTGTTGGGCAAACGTTAGGATTGTTTTGGATACAATTTTCGTATCTATCACTATTTTTGCTTGGAAACGTTCCATTTACAACCGTTATGCTGTCAAAATTGACTTGCAATCTTTTTTAAACCATATATAGGATGAGTATTCAACGAGTCTTACCCAAAGATACGGCGATGATCCCTCTACCTATCCCTTATTTGATACAGAGCTGTGGGAGAAAGCGGTTGGGGGAAGAAAAAAAGGTCGTCTATTTGGGTTTGGGTACAACCAAGATCCCAACTGTGTCTTGACCGGCAACTACACGGAAGCTGCTTCATCGTCTTCAGAACAGCGGGTATGTGTCTTTTTTTTTCTTTTGACGATGTTTATCGATCTAGTTAAACTTAGAGGCCCAAGTTATGGATTTACAAGAAGAAATCAGCGTCGACGGACGGTGGATGAGCAACTTCTGAAACAAATGAATGATATGACTGTTTTGGTTAACGAACTTCGTCAATCACAATTCCCACTGCCATCTAATTGAATATTGTTTGTTTATTTGGAACAATTTAATTTCTTTGTAACATTGTGTGATACATTAAATTGTTTATGTTTTGTAACAATTGTTTACTTTAATCAATGTATGATATTTGGTTGCATTTTAATTTTTTAGTTTTATCCATATTTTTATAGATTTACAGGTTTTAAATATTTATTGAAAAAATAAACAAAAAATAAATTTTTATAATGAAATTTTTTTCCTGCGGATTTCCGGCGGAAACATCCGCCGGAAATATTAAAATTGTTTAATAAATTCCAAAATATATGAATATTTGATTAAATATTAAAAAAAAACAAAAACACCGGTGGATTTCCGGCGGATCCGGCCGCCGGTAATTTTTTTATTTTTTATTCTTTTTTTGAAAATCTTATTTATTTAAGTTTTTCTGGCGAGAAAAGAATCCAGCGGATATATCCGCCGGAAAATTTCTTAATTTTTTTTATTAAGTAAAACCAAATTTTTTAATTAAGCCGGCGAAAGATTTCCGGCGGCCGAAATCCGCCGAAAAAGTGAAGAATCCACCGGAAAACTCAACGGAAAATAAATCACCGGCGCCCTCTTTTCCGGCGGACAAATCCGCCGGAAATCCGCCGGAAATTGGGTTTTCCGGCGGATTTGTCCGCCGGAAAAGAGGATAATTTTGGTAGTGATCTCCCTCCAAAACCTGGTTGTTTCATTAAAGACAAATAGAGTATAAACTATAAAGCGCTACATATCATCGCTTTCCGCTTTCCGCTTTCCGCAAGGGTTGACGAGAACTTGGGGTGTCAATAGAGTCCGAACCAAGAAGATCATCCCAAAAAATTGACGGTCATATGGACCAACCCCACCATCTAATAAAGATTTGGTCCATAATGAAAGCTCTTCGGATTATGGTTGCACAAGTGAGTAGAAAACTTAATTAGATTTTTGGATTTCACTCTTTATGTTATTTACTTTAAGTTTAAATCAGATATTTTTGACGTCATATACTCGATTAGTAATTACTCATATGTGTAAAGGTTACGTCAAAATTGTAAGAAAAATAAAGAAAAACGAATTGATTTTCTATTTTAAATAATTAAGTTTCAGAATTTGTTTTGAATAAATAAATTATTGAATTTCCTCGAATGATTAAGTTCTTGATTTTTTCTGAATGTATAAACCTATGAACTTTTAGAAATTGATTACCTACATTATTTCAACATAAAAAAATTTCTGTAACGACTAGGAAAAATTGAAGTTAAAAAAAGAAGCTAAATCCGCTCAAATCCCTTGTACCCATTGACATTGTTCCCTCTCGATGCCCTATCGCCGTCCCCTCTTTATTATTGTCCGTTGTCGCCTTTGCCCCTGCTATCGGTCTCCTTCTTTTTTATTTGTTTTTATCTTTCGATTCTCATTATTTTCAACAAAATTAATGGAATACGTATAGATAGATGAAAAAAAGGAGAATTTAAAAAACATAAAAGATAGACAAATAAGGGAGATCAATGGTATTGGTAGGGACCATGTAACTCCCATAAGTTAAGAAAATAGCATAAAATTTTAAACTCCTTCAAATAAAATTAGAATAAGTCAGGTGTTACTAATACCACTAAATCTATTATCTTTAAAACCGGATGACGTCTCTAGCCATCTTATCGAAACATTTACAAAGCTCTATATGTCACTCAGATCTCTCTAAGACATGATATATATGTCGATAAGAAAAACTGTTAGTTTTAACGCCTATAAATTAAAGTTGTTTTATCCAGGCCCGTTACTGACATTTTATAGGCCATGGACGAACGTAAAAACAGGGCCCACCGCAAGAAACAAAGCTTTTAGCAACGACTTTTGTCGTCGCTAAAAGTCCATTTATCATCAGAAAGAGTATATAACAATATGTCGTTGTTATAACTTGTGGTGGAAACATGTCATCGCTAAAAGGCGCATCGTCAAAGCTCATTTTTCTTATAGTGACCCTCAATAAGTACGAAAAAAATTCAATAAATATTTTTCATTAGTATAAAATTGAGTACAAGAAATGCTAACAATTTACTGAGAAAAGAAAATTTTATTTATTTTTATTATAGATATATAAGAGAGTACCTAAATTTACGTATTTCTTAGTAGGTTATTTGAAACCAAGAGTATATAAACTGTGGTTGGTAAATTTTTATAAGAAGTAAAAAAAAATTTAGTTCATAATAAGAAGTATGTGTTATTTTGATACAAAAAGAGAATTCGTGTGAATGAAGTAATTGTGAGGGTCAATGAGATATCAATAATAAAGAAAACTATCAAAGTTTTCTAGACAAGTAGACAAATAAGAATCAATAAGAATATGAAAGAAAAGATGATCCATTAAGATACAATAAGAATAAATAATGAATTAAATATATAACATGCAAGCTCAACAAATGATTATTTAGACACTTAAATAGAATATTGTGTTTGTGGTAGAATCCCAATGAAAGATACATAAGTAAAACAATTGATAAAAACATTTAAATTCTATTTTCCTTTTTTTTGTTTAACTAAAATAAGATGTTAGATTAAAAGTTTTGGAACATGACATATATAAGAGACACTACTAAATACATCTTGTGGAAAAAAAATTAATGATTAATCACAAAACCATGAAACACGTCATAAATTATAAGAACAATAGATTTATCGGCAAATAATAGTAAAATATTTTATGTAGAAGCAAAAATAGATAACAATAGTCAACAAAAACAATTAGAACAACATAACCAAATAACAATAGTCGATAGAAGCAGAAATTGATAAAAATATCCAACAAAAATATATAGCAATAACAAGCACATGATCTTAACGTTGAATTATTGAAGCACGAAAACAGTCAAACATAGCAATATCCAATATCATTGGACCTTATTGGAGATAAAAAAAAAATTAGAGAGACAATAAACAATTGAATTACCAATTATTTTTTTTATTTTCTTCTCCAATGTAATTAGTTGATATATTTTTAAGTCCTTATTATCTAATATATTTTTGAGCCCTTACTATCTACTAAATTCTTCCTCTTATTATATGCTACAATATTTTAAGTTTTTTTAATTTATTAAATTCTTTTAGATTACTATTATATTTTAATACAAAATTATAGACCCTGGGCGTGCATTTCTGACGGATATATCCGCCCTGTTTGATAGTAGCTAACGGACACAAAAAGAGTGGACCTTCTCCGATGGTATCTTTCATCATAATACTGAAAGCCTCATGCCCCACTTGAGTGTTCCGTAGATTCCCATAATCTATGCGGTTACCGAGAACAAAATTTTGCGTTGCCATTTGATCGATCATCAAATCCTAATGCATATACCAATCCACTAAATTGATCGGAAACAATATAGTCGGTAACATTACATTATTGAAATGCTTACCCACCCGGTGAAAACGAAACTAGATCAATCGAATTTTCGACATAAAGACAGGTACCATGAACACAATTGTTCCCAAAAAAAAAAAGTGCTAAAACTTGGAATATGGAGTATAATTCTCTTCATTATACAAGATATCCACAACTGTTGCTAGCTAGCTAAAAGTATGGAAGACATAGGTAGGTTCATTTATTGATCAAGCAAAAGGTAATGGAATATCCGGCTGTGTCGGATGTTCCGGCACAATATCGGGCGGCTGTTTCGGAGGAACCCATTCAGGTGGTGTTGGCGGAATCACTTCAGGAGTATTTGGTGGCACCGGCATTTCTGGCCCCGGTGGTTGTATCTCCGGATCCGGCTTTGGTGGGCCTGGAAACTCTGGAGTTGGATTTGGAGAGAGTGGTGGAGGATCAACAGGTTTCTCTGGTGGAATGGATCCAAGTCTGGCGGGTTGGGCGTTCTTGGCACCTCCTGTGGTAGACTTAACTCCTGCTCCGACGATGGCCGTGAAGGGAACTCCGGTGGGGTTTTGAGGGAGATATCTGGTTGATCGTAGGCTAGTTGTAGGGAGGAAAGAGGTGGTGGAAAGGTGGTGTGATATCTTACATAAAATTGCTGACATCTTTTGTTTCAATGACGATGAAAATAGACAATGCAATGAAGATGATGATTGACGAAGGTTTATAAGTGTCGATGAAATGGACACTTGGGAGTCATGCACGAGATTGATGGACACGTAGCTTTACAACGATTTCTTCAAAATTATATATAATATTAATGAAGGTTAGCAATTACAATTTTAATCGTTTAAATCAAATTTATTATTAAATTTTAGTTTTTTAAATTGTTTATTTTACGGATACATATGATAGTTAATATCGTTGAATTTTTAAAATGTATAAATCTTGATAAATCATGCACAAATTTCCAAGTTTTACAATTTTTTATTCAACATGATTAAAAAGATACTCAAACAATATAACAAGATATAATTTAATTTTAATACTTTTTTATCAAAGTTAATATTATAATACGAATTTATATAATTTTGAATAAATAATAATGTTTTTTATTAA